CGCGGCTAATTTCCAGAGTGACATCACCTCAGAGATGTGTCGCCTCCTCGGCATTCAGCGATCTAGGATTTCCCCGTATCACCCTGAAGGCAACTCTTAAGTGCGAGCGGATGATGCGCATTGCGCACAGTCCTCGACATGTTGTCGAAGTACTTAGACGAGAATCACGATGAATGAGACCTGCATATCCCGCTCCTGATGATGGGGTATCGCTCCCAGGTGCACTCTAGTTTGGGTAACTCGCCGTATTTTCTGAAGTTCGACCGCGAGCCGCGGCTGCCTGCTGTCAGTTTTGCGGCGCCGCAAGCGTGCCGAAACCGCACTGTCGCGCAGTATGTGGACCGCTTGTGCGAGAGCTTGAAAGTCGCTCACAAGTTTGCACTTCAGACCTCAGACACGCGGCACCGTCGAAACAAAACATTGTATGACCAGACGTCCAACGAATTCACGTTCGTTCCTGGTGATACTGTCCTTCTGTACCGCAGCGTAGTTCCAAAGGGACAGTATTATAAATTATCAGGCCATGGAAGCGAGCTGTCATCAAGGCCAAACTCGGAGAGGTCAACTACAGGGTTCGCCTAGAGGGGACACGCAAGAACCTGGTGGTACACCACAATCGCCTCAAACCTACACTTCCTGTGGCAACTAGTGATCACAACACCGGTGTCACTGCCGGCGATATCCAGCCTCGCTCGCAGGTCTGCTGTGCGTAAGAGCGACGGAGGTGGTAATCTGGCGGAGGCGTTTGGACGGTATGCCGTCCGTCCGGCACGCAGCGCTGGCGTGGTGCCCCGTAGTCCCGATTCGGTGGTCATCGACATCGAGGGACCTGGTGCCGCGTGTCTGAGGTCTGAAGTGCAAACTTGTGAGCGACTTTCAAGCTCTCGCACAAGCGGTCCGCGGGCGGGCGGACGGGGTGCGCCGAGCTGCGACCGGCAGAACTGTTGGGACCGCGGCGCCGGTCGGACGGGGTGCGCGGCCGGCTCACTTGATTAGGGATTTGTTCGATATTGGTTACTCGTCTTGCCCCTTGATTTGCTTTCGTTTATCTCATTCTCTCTTACAATATATCTGGGTCCAGGTTAACTTCTTTCTTCCTTCGCGATAATCCCACCGCTGCCACCAAAATGTAGCGTTTGTTTATTGCGAAGGATGAAAGAAGTGAACCTGGACCCAGATATACATATTGCAAGAGAGAATGAGATTAACGAGAGCAAATCAAGGGGCAAGACGAGTAACCAATATTGAGCAAATCCCTAATCAAGTGAGCCGGCCGCGCACCCGGGCCGTCCGACCGGCGCGGCGCGGCGGTCCCAACAGTTCTGCCGGTCGCAGCTCGGCGCACCCCGTCCGACCGACCGCGCCTGGTCACGTGACTGGTCGGCGGCCTCGGGCGATGACCGCTCAGTGCAGTGGTCGGCCGGCCGGTGGACCCCCAGCCGGCCGGCCGTGCGGCCAGCGACGCAAAACAATAAAGGCCGAGCGACACTATGGAAAGTCCAGGAAATTACGTGCGTGATCTGCGAGTTTGTGGGTTTTGCAGAAAATCGGTACGCAGGTCAAGTTCAGCTGATAGGAAATGTTATATAGTGCACCCGAAGAGGCGGCTTAACCCGGCCGGGCCCGGGGGGTAATCCCAACCACCGCAGCCCGGGGGGGGGGGCGTTTTTCGCCCCCCTGTCTAACTCCGTAAATAAGGGAGCTACGGAAACAAAAGCGATACCAAACGAAAGGTCTTTTGAGACGATTCTAATGCACTTAAAATTTTTGACCTCAGGTCAATTTTCAAGGTCAGAGGTCAAGGTCAAAGGCAAAAACCGCCACATGTGTAGTGATCTCAAAGTAAGCCTTCTAGAGGACGGCAGGCTGCATCAAACTGGCAAAATTGGCTGTCGAACAAAAGAAGAGAATCTGAGGATTCTGAAAATGTGCTCAAAGTGAAAGGTCAAGGTCAAGGTCACGCTCAAAATTGACCTCAAACTTGGCACTTTTTCGCATATCTTGCGTGCTAACTTCCAAGATGTTTTGAAATGTTTTGAGGCTTATCAGTTCCCTATTTGTGGTTCATCTCACGATACAAGGCTTCTCAAAGGTCAAGGTCACAGAAGAGTATCCCTGCTAGAGGCTATTTCACTGATTCAAGTTAGTAATAATAAATAAGACAATTTTGCAATCCGGAAGCTCTAAATGAAGGCTTAGAGGAAAATAGATGCCAGATTCGTGATCAGCGGGTACAAATCCATCATAAACGACCTTTCATGTGTCAAGGTCAACCAGAGGTCATTCGAGGTCACATGAGGTCAACATAAAATTTGACCTTTTCCGAACAAAATATATATCATTCGACGCGGCTTGACAAGGCGAATGCGATGGTACCACTGCCGTAGCTCTAGGACCATTTTTGTCGAAGTTATTTGCGAAAAACTAAAACCACATTTCGGGGTCGTTGACCTGACCTCTGACCTCAGGTCACCAAAACTATTTTTCTATTTCTCTCTAGGTCAAACGCTACACAACCGTGCTCGTAATTTGTCTTTATCTCTAAAACTCTATTTTTAGCAGCTATTTGAAGTTTGCGTCTGTGACGCCGAAGTTTGCCGTGCAGGGGTCTAGCAAAATGGACCTTGTGACGTCATCAAGGGGGCTTGGTCCAAATTTTTTACTTCAGAAGATGTCAAATTGATGGGAGAAAAGGTACTGAAAGTTTCGCCTTCCTATCCCTAAGCGTTCGGGAGCTATCGCAAATATTCGCCAGGGGGGGGGGGGCGAAAAACGCCCCCCCGGGCCCGCGAGGATAAGCCGCGAGAAACTTCATCACGCGCTGTGATAAATTCTAGAAGAAAAAAGCTAAAGATACATTCGAGCGGCTCGGTCAACTTTAACTTGAGCTTTAACCGATAACCTAACGTAGCGTTCTCATTCGGTATGTTTTGTCTCTGCTTGATATATCACGATGATATATAATATCTGTTTCTAGCCTTATCTTCCCCGTTCCGAGATAACGACCGATAACCAAACATGGCGCAGCCGACAGGATCGGGACAGGAAGATATTGCTTCAAAGATGGCAGAACTTCTGCAACAGCAAGCAGCTGCCGCACAGCAGAGAGAAGAGAGACTCGCTGCTATGATAGCCCAGCTTCTAGAAAAAGACGCTCGCACCAGCAGCGACACAGCTCAAGCAACAAGCGGTGATACATCGGAGACGACTCGAACGAGACCGGCCGACACCGATGGCCGAAAATACAGCGTAGCTCCAGGCACCATACCCGTCCCTAGACTCTGCGGTACAGCTAACCTTCGAGACTTCGCAACATGGAATGAAAAATATGAAGGATATTCCTCGCCCTGGCAGGGCATTTTTCATAACACGGCCTGGCAGGGGGGGGGGGGGTCGATGCGACCCCCCCCCCCTCGCGATTGGCTCCTATGGCACCTAGAAACACCAAATTTGGTAGGTAGGTGGGCCCCCTGGAGTTCTCGCCACTGTGCAAATTTGGTTGCTCTAGGTCAATATTTAGGGGGGTTTTGGGGGGTATAAATGTAAAAACTTCGCAAAAAACAGGTCAAAAGTTTTTTCGCTTATAACTTTTGATCTAATTAAGATAGCGCAAAAAGAAAAGCACCAGTGAACTCAGCACGTCAAGGCGCGTCGAATGATATACTTTTTAGCCTGCTTAAGTGTACTTAAAGTTTATCTTAAATTTTAAGTAAACTTAAATTAATAAATTAAGTTCAAGTTAACCAAATTGCATCATATCGCACATCATTCGATTCGGCTGATCACTAGGAACACAATGATATCATTTTTTAAGCTCTAGCGTCATTATCAGACAAAAACGTCATTTGACCTCAGTTGACCTCATTTGACCTGACCCATGGATAAGTACACCAAACAAAGAAGCACCAAGTGACCTGCTGTTAAGTACTGTGGTTTCAAAGCACAAAAGTGATAGAACGAAGCGGATATCTTCAGTATTTTCCGAATTTAGTATTTTCCCATAGGCTTAACATTACGACGTAATGACCTCTAACTGACCTCAGGTCAGTGACCTCAAAAAACCAGAACTATATGTTATACAACTCGGTGAACTTAGCACATCCTGAAAGTTTGAAGGAAATCAGTCGAAAACTGTGAGTTGGACAGGTGCAAAAAGAAAATTGAAATTTGACCTTGTACCGGTTTTTCTGACCTGGTGACCTGGCCCAAGGTCACCCGGACCTGAAATTTTTGAGGTCATGTGTAAAAAGGTTGCCCCATAGGCTGTGCCAAATTTGGCGGCGCTGCGCGCCGCCGTTTTTACGCTATCTTCGAAAAACCTTAGGGGGGGGGGGGGTCGCATCGACCCTGCCAGGGCGAGGGATATGCTAAGCTCACTGGCATAGAAAAACTGCCTTACGAAGAGCAAAAAGCAGTGTTCTACACTTTACTAGACGATGAATGGCTCAGAATAGTAAAGTTCGGCCTAAATAACGGCACAGCCACGGGAACCGGAGAAGGTGACACAATCTCGAAGCTCATCAACGAAATGGAGGCTCATCTTCGGCGTCAGAGAAACGTCATCCTAGATCGCCGGGATTTCTATCTGCGTCGACAGGAGCCAGGTGAGCGATTCGACGATTTCTTCATGTCTCTGAAGGAGATCGCTCAGTTCTGCGACTTTTGCGACAGTTGCACGGAAGACAGGTTCCGGGATCGAATCCTAACAGGGCTGGGAGACGAGGAAACAATTCGCCTCCTTCTGAGCGAGAAAGATTTGAGCCTGCAAAAGACCTTGGACATCTGTCGCGCCCGAGAGAATGCTGCGCATGATTCCCTAGCGCTCATGTCTCACCGCACAGAAATCCAGACCGTCAGACAAGCTCACAATTGCCACAAGAGCAAAGAGTCTGTCAGAGCCTGTAGCTACTGTGGCGGATCATGGCATGAGAGCCTATCCAAGTGCCCTGCACAAAAAGCCAAGTGCGAAAATTGTGAGCGAGTGGGGCATTACACTGCTGTGTGTCGTAGAGCGTCGCGCAGTGGAGAAACGGTAAAGACGCAGTCAAACGGCCGTACTCGCAGACGATCTCTCAGTCGTAAACCAGAATCGGAGTCTCAGAAGCGTAACGTGCAGCACGTTACCATAGCTGACGTGACACGCAGCCCGGCGGCGCTGCTGAATATACATTCTTGGACGATACCGCGAAAACGAAATATTTCTATCGAGAGTTTTCAAAGGATTTCATGCACGAGGCCTTGGCCGAGTGCATGAAATTCTTTGAAAGCTCGAGATAGAAATATTTCGTCGCGGTAGAGTCCTAGATATTATTTCCTGTATGTTTCTTAATATCGTTCGTTATTTGCTTAAAAAAGGCCGAAATATGCATAAAAAAATACAGTAACATTAACTACACGTTAAATACTGAAATACTGGCAGTTCTAATCACTTAACAGTTCAGCAAAGCTTACAAATTTTCTTTAAAACAGAAGCCCTCGGTGAAATCAAGCTATCCAAGAAAACCATCCAAGAAAACGTCTCGCGCAAAGTTTCTTGGATGGCTGGATTGCATTGCAAGACTGCATCAAACATACAGGAAAACACCGCAGATTACTGTCGGCGTGAAAGTCGCCGACGGGGGCGGCACTCTCCGATGGACTCCGGACACTGGGGCTGAAGTCAGCGTCATCGGCGAGCGAGAAGCCAAGAGCATCAGTGTGGATGTAACTCGCCTAACACCGCTGAACGAAAAACTATATGCGGCTGGAGGAGGACAGCTAGATTCAGCTGGAACATTCTCATGTGAGCTGCATCTCGGAGATAGGCAAGTCACTACCGAAGTCGTGGTCTTAAACAGATTCGATGGAGCACTGCTTTCGTGGACTGAATGCATCGGACTGGGGATACTTCCCCCGGACTTCCCACGCCAGATCAAGTCAACTGAGTACGCGGCAAGTGGACAGACACAGTCAGCCCGCGGAGCCCGCCGTGACACCAGCCGGCGGCGCTCACGCTCGCTAACTTCAGAACTTCAGAATCAGAAAGATGAAACTGCGGTGTCTACGGTGCTGACCCGGTCGGGCGGAGGAAATACACTCCCTACCTGGGTTCTAGAGCGCGCTCCTACGGAACATGAGCGCAACAGTCACGCGGAAAGTCTAAAAGAAGCATTCAATAGCGTGTTCGAAGACGGAACTTTGCGAAAGATGGCCGGACCACCAATGCGAATCCAGTTGAAAGAGGACGTGAAGCCGGTCGCGACAACTGCGGCTAGAGCCATACCGTACGCCTGGCGCGACGACATCAAGAATCAGCTGGATGATCTCGCACGTCAGGGCATCATCGTGCCGGTCAGCGAGCCCACCGAGTGGTGCCACCCCATGACGCCTGTGGTCAAAACTACATCCGACGGAACGCAAAAAGTGAGACTGTGCGTCGACCTGACACGACTCAATGAGCACGTCCGCCGTCCGGCTTACCCTATGAAGACGCCTCACGATGTGGTGTCAGCCATCGGAACAGGGGCCAAGTACTTCACGAAGCTGGACGCAAAAAGTGGATATTTCCAGATTCCGCTCCATGAAGACGATCAGCACCTGACGTGCTTCATTACACCGTGGGGCCGGTACATGTTCACGCGCGCAGTCATGGGTCTGTCGTCTTCGGGCGATGAATACAACCAGCGAGGCGATCAAGCACTGGCAGGGCTGCAAAATACCTGCAAGATCGTGGACGATATTCTCATCTACTCGGAGGACTACAGCAGTCATCTGAAGCAAGTTCAAGACGTGCTCAGGAGATGCGAGGAGCACGGAATCACGCTGAACGTTGATAAGATGGCGTTCGCCCAAGCAGAGGTCGAATACTGCGGCTACACCGTCGGAGAGCACGGGTTCAAACCCGACGAAAGGAAAATACGAGCGATAGCTGAGTTCCCCGCTCCAGCCACACTCACAGACTTGAGAAGCTTCCTCGGGCTGGTAAATCAACTGGGTGAATTCTCGGCTGACATCGCGAGAGCAGCCGCACCACTGCGCGACCTCCTAAAGCCGAGTAACGTCTGGACCTGGACTGAAGTTCACCAGAATGCGTTCAATGACGTCAAAAAGGCGCTGACGTCACCGCCGATACTCGCGTTCTTCGATCCGGCACTCCCCACTGTACTTCAGACCGACGCATCCCGCCTGCATGGACTGGGATTCGCGCTGATGCAGGAACACGGAGATCGGTGGCGGCTCGTGCAGTGCGGGCCAAGATTTCTAACGGACACAGAGAGCCGTTACAGCGTCATCGAACTTGAGATGCTGGCGCTCGTGTGGAGCGTGCGTAAGTGCAGAACATATCTGGCTGGCCTCACATTCGAAGCCGTGTTGGATCATCGCCCACTGATCCCAATCCTGAACAACAAGCTGCTGGCGGACATCGAAAACCCGAGGTTCCAGCGCCTCAGGCACGCGCTGATGGCCTACAGCTTCACAGCCTCGTTGAGGAGTGGTAGCAAACACTGCGTACCGGACGCACTGTCTCGTGCTCCAGTCGACGAGCCGTCTACAGACGATGCAGAGGCAGAAAAGGACCTCAACAGCTACGTCAGAGCCGTCGTCGTCGGCGCGGTAGCGCACGTCACTGACGAGCACGGTCCGACGCGGTCGCAAGAGAGGTCACCAGATCTGATGTTGACAAGAATCAGAGATGCAGGGAGTTTGGATGATGAATATGTCAGCCTGCGGGCGGCAGTAGAAGAGGGATTTCCCTCCGAGAAGACGGACCTACCGACTGAGCTCCGTCCGTACTGGCCCTACCGTGATCAGCTATCTGTAGACGGAGATGTACTGCTCATGGGCGCGAGGCTGGTCATCCCTGCTTCACTGCGTCGAGACGTCCTGGCAAAGCTACATGCCAGCCATCAAGGCATCGACAAGACAAAACGGCGCGGTCGCCAGTCAGTCTTCTGGCCTAGTCTGAACAATGACATCGAGAACACCGTGAGAACATGCCGTCCATGCCGCGAGAATCTCCCCAGCCAGAGGAAAGAACCTCTGATGGATGACCCGGCACCAAAACGCGTGTTCGAGAGCGTCTCAGCTGACTTCTTCACCGCGGCTGGCAAGCCATTTTTGGTGTATGTCGACCGCCTGTCCGGCTGGCCGGTCATTGCTACATTCTCACGTGATGCCACAGCCCGTGATCTAGTGACGACGCTTCGAAAGATATTCGCTTCGACTGGAGTGCCGAACGTGTTGCGCACGGATGGGGGGCCCCAGTTCAGTGCAAAGATCACCAGAGACTTCATGAAGAGATGGCAGATCGATCACCGGATGTCGACGCCGTACTATCCACAGTCCAACGGGCACGCCGAAGCAGCGGTCAAGTCGGCAAAGAGACTCATTCTCAAGACCACTCAGAACGGGAACACGGACTCGGATGAGTTCGCAAAAGGACTACTAGAACTGCGCAATACGCCGAGGGCAGACGGGCGCTCACCCGCTCAGGTCCTGTTTGGTCATTCCCTCAGATCCGCAGTTCCGGCACACTATCGTGCCTTCGCCCCACGGGTGGTGCGCCGTCCGCAGCAGGTACTGAAAAGAGGACGGAGAGGACGGGCACGAAGGCGCCCGTAAAAAATGGTGCGGACTTTCCGCAGTGTCCGCTTAGGTGGTTACGCCCGTACAGTTTTACTAGAACGTTTGGCAGCACGCGGTGGTATATGCAGCTTTGCGCGCAACAAGTGCCGCTCTTTCAAATAAAGTCCCTAGGAACCGCGGAGATCCTAAAAAAGTAAACAAAAGTAAAAGTCTAATATCTTGAAAATCGGTGAATACTTTTCGATGAAATTTGGTAGATATTCGTTTTCGCTCTTACTGAACCGAGCGACATCACTTTCATGCCAATTCATAAACTTTTTGGAAGGTGGGAGGGTGCCTTTAACCAAAAGCATTTGTGTTCAGAAATGTTGAAAGGCGCGCCGGTACTTTCCGGATACCCTGGATGTTCCTATAGTTCGTTGACACATTTCCCATGTCAATAAAGCATGCAAGAACCCGCCAAAAAGTTTATATGTATAATGTTTATGCCTATGCAATATACCGGGTGGAAAGATAAAAAGATACCACATTTGTTTTGCTTCTGACGGATGCAAATTCTGATTAAGCGAGCGAATTTAAATGTTATTCGAAAGAGGAGCCATGGGGGATTATGCTGGAAAAACTTTTGAGTGTAATGGGGCCAAAAGTTGAAGTTTGTAGATGTCTACTTGTCTGTGAAGTCTATAGTGGAGAAGCAGCGTCGCTATCGAGTTTACTTTCAGTGAAGGTACACGCCCACGCGAAAAACAATTCTTCTACTGTGTAAGGCTTTTTGGAAGGAAGGCTCAGCTCTAAACCAGAGCCAGGGTCACAATAGGGTTGGGACCTATCTGCATGCTCTGTATGTTTTGGTAAAATAAGAAAGCTCAGAATTTTTAATGATTTAATTTAAAATCAATTTGTTAAAAAAATGCCTAGTTAGCTCAAAAACTGATTAATTGTGACTGAAAACAACTTGCTTCTGATTGGTCGGGCTAATCATGACGTCACATGTAGGTATATAGCTGTCTGTATATTTGGCGCAGTTGAGGCATACATTTTCTATGTATTTCCCTATGGTAAGGAGTGATTGGTCGTTTATTCAGTGTCTCTTTATTTTGCGCTGGTATTGCGTGGCTAAGAAGTTTTATCAAGAATGACATATACTAAAATGTTCCTTTAATAGTGGAGCTTCAATATCTGTGAGTTTTATTGGCAAGCGAAAACTGATTTCGCTGTTATTTTATCTGGAAATTACTCATTTTCTAGGTCAATATTCAAAATATTTTACGGGAACAAGTTGGCACTTCTCTTGATTTTTGCACTCATATCGCGTGCGATTCAACTGTATTGGAACTTGCAAAGAAGCTTGGTGATTACTTAACCCTCGCGGGCCCGGGGGGGGGGGGCGTTTTTCGCCCCCCCTGGCGAATATTTGCGATAGCTCCCGAACGCTTAGGGATAGGAAAGCGAAACTTTCAGTACCTTTTCTCTCATCAATTTGACATCTTCTGAAGTAAAAAATTTGGACCTAGCCCCCTTGATGACGTCACAAGGTCCATTTTTCTAGACCCCTGCACGGCAAACTTCGGCGTCACAGACGCAAATTTCAAAAAGCTGCTAAAAATAGAGTTTTAGAGATAAAGACAAATTACGAGCACGGTTGTGTAGCGTTTGACCTAGAAAAAAATAGAAAAATAGTTTTGGTGACCTGAGGTCAGAGGTCAGGTCAACGACCCCGAAATGTGGTTTTAGTTTTTCGCAAATAACTTCGACAAAAATGGTCCTAGAGCTACGGCAGTGGTACCATCGCATTCGCCTTGTCAAGCCGCGTCGAATGATATATATTTTGTTCGGAAAAGGTCAAGTTTTATGTTGACCTCATGTGACCTCGAATGACCTCTGGTTGACCTTGACACATGAAAGGTCGTTTATGATGGATTTGTACCCGCTGATCACGAATCTGGCATCTATTTTCCTCTAAGCCTTCATTTAGAGCTTCCGGATGGCAAAATTGTCTTATTTATTATTACTAACTTGAATTAGTGAAATAGCCTCTAGCAGGGATACTCTTCAGTGACCTTGACCTTTGAGCAGCCTTGTATCGTAAGATGAACCACAAATAGGGAACTGATAAGCCTCAAAACATTTCAAAACATCTTGGAAGTTAGCACGCAAGATGTGCGAAAAAGTGCCAAGTTTGAGGTCAATTTTGAGCGTGACCTTGACCTTGACCTTTCACTTTGAGCACATTTTCAGAATCCTCAGATTCTCTTCTTTCGTTTGACACCCAATTTTGCCGGTTTGATGCCGCCTGCCGTCTTCTAGAAGGCTTACTTTGAGATCACTACACATGTGCCGGTTTTTGCCTTTGACCTTGACCTCTGACCTTGAAAATTGACCTGAGGTCAAAAATTTTAGGTGCTTTAGAATCGTCTCGTAAGGACCTTTCGTTTGGTATCGCTTTTGTTTCCGTAGCTCCCTTATTTACGGAGTTAGACAGGGGGGGCGAAAAACGCCCCCCCCGGGCTGCGGTGGTTGGGATTACCCCCCGGGCCCGGCCGGGTTAACTGCGTTGTTATGGCACTGTTTGCAAAGCATGGATAACGAAACTGCCAAAGACCTAGCTACATAGCAATGCCTCAAGTAATACGCAGGAGGGACAGAATTCAGAGTCCGATCGAGAAGAATCGGTGCAAATGCTACGAGGACCAGGCAGCTCTGATACGATGGCTAGTCGTCTCACTCCATTAGACCAGCTGATTCCTGACAGCACCGACTCAGATGCAAAGATGGAGCTCATCTTCCAAGCCAGAAACCAGTTCTTTGATGGAAGATGTGATGCTGCCTCTGTCTGCTTTGTTGGCCACTTTGGACGGGGCCGAGCTCCGCTCCTTGCGTGAGCGGCTATTCGCCTGTCATCCAGAAATAGTTCCTTCGTCTGCTGGCCGTTCCCTGATCATGTGCAATACGGGGAGCTATAATAAGGAAAGCAACTTTCCATATGAAAGGGGTGCAGGTGCACCCCCGTCCCCCATCCACTAGAAGTGCACCCCCATAGGCTAAGCGGCGCCCCACACGCCGCCCCACACCGATTAGCTCTAGAGCAGATGGCGAGGGTGATTTCCAGCCCTTGCACAAAATATCTCACCTCACAGTGATCATTACAATATCTCCGACTTGATAGTGGATTTCAAAGTACTTGCATCAGCTCTTCTTGCTATTGCAGACGATCATCTCCTCAGGGTGATGTTGTTCGGGACATAAACGAAGATCGTTTTCGGAGTTTCATAAGTGCTACTGCAACAGCCTGGCACAAAACAGGACTTGTACGCTTTTCTCTGCACTTTGCCCTTCAGTATATCACAAAATAATTGTTTAGAATCCATCTTACGCTTCTTTCACAGTCTCCCTTGCCACCGTAGGGCGTAGATAGGTTGCTGCTGCTGGTAAGTTAAGGCACGGTAGATAGAAATTACCTCGGTTCTCAGCGCCTTAATTTATTTTTATGAAAAAGAACAAAGCAATTATTAATAAAATTAGAGAAATGTTAAAATTTTGATTGAAAATTAGGCCAAATGCGTATTGGAAAGGCTTTTGCCCTTCAGCATCTTCCGATTCATCATGTTTTTCATTAGAAAATTCGAGGTTCACAAAATGTTTACCACGCGCTCAATGTTAAATGGGAACAGTACACGGCAGACGCATCAATTTTTGACACTGAACCTTTCATTCGTGAATGCTTTAGCATAATTTAAAGCTAAAAACAGCGCGAATGGCAGAGTGAAACAAACAACCTCTTTCACATATAGAAATAACATGTAATCGGTGGTGCGCCAGATGCGCCATTATTTGTCAACCGCAGAAGGTGACATGTGACGTAACAGCATCAAGAGCGTCTTTTTCAAGAACTTTAAAAAATATGTTTTCTATCTGTCTTCCCCCATTTCTCTCAGCATAATGCTTTTATGAGGAAACTGTATGCACCATAAATTCTGCAAAAATAGTCTGATCATTTCTATACATTCTTCAAAAATCGAGTTCCCAACCCCATTGTCGACGAAAATCAAAAGGCAATACAGAGGACGTTGAGAGTCAAGGCTACTATTGAGCGTAACCCTTCAAAATCGATTAGGAAGGTCACTGAATAGGCTAGAGCACCCACTTTTTCTTGCGCGGGTTGCCTGGAAGGAAAAGTGTACCGGAATGTCCCTCAAAACCTGCTGAAGCATATCAAACAAGCAGTCAAGCAAGGTATACGAAAGATCTCAGCAAAGACAAACTATTAAGCCGTTCGTGAAGTGGAAAAACGTATCAGCGTCTGCCTGGCGAAAAACAGAGCTGTTTTCGAACACGTGCTGTAATCGGGCACCTGGGTCAAACATATATGAAAATGGTATCAGTAAAATATCCCAGGTTTTGTGTTTAAAATGAAGTCATGCAGAGCCGTGTATGTTATGTGGTGTTGAAGTTATTCACAAATAAAATATGGTACCTTTTTCTTTCCACCCTGTAGGTACTACACAGTGCTGCATGTTTTAACAACCTATTCGGCATGTGGGAGGCCTAGCCCTTTGTCATAGCCCCAAAAAGTGTTTCTCCCTCATCAGCTGTGGGAGGCTGGTAAAAAGTTTCTTGATTTCGAACTATTGCTGGAAAATCGTGTGTCCCCCTCTGTGGTGTGGCGGCATGTGGCCTGTGACGGCGCTCCCCAGAACCGCCTCTGTCAGACCTGCGCGTGCCCCTGCGGTCAGATGTGGACGAGTGTCGGGACCCTGGCTCGTGCGGAGACATGGCCTGCGAGAACTCGATCGGCAGCTTCCAGTGCGTTCCACGCCGGATGACCTGTCCTTCCGGCTTCGTCTTCAGCCCCGGCGTGCAGACTTGTGTCGGTAAGCGGGTACACAACGCCGGCCAGCACTGCAGACTTGTGTCGGTAAGCGGGTACATAACGCCGGCCAGCACTGCAGACTTGTGTCGGTAAGCGGGCACACAACACAACGTATGATGCTGGTTTTGTGTCTTTCTAAGGGTGGACTGAAATACATGTGATTTTACCTTACTTATTGAACGACCTAGTAAAATGCAATGCTCAGTGCTCTCCGCTGTAGCTCCGCACTGACATTTGGAAGTTTCCGTTTTTCCTAACTTGTTTCTATGCTCGTTCAGATCTGATGCGTTTAGCCTTATCCGGGTACGTAAAATGTTGCCGAGTTTTGAACCAATAGTTCGATAAAGGTGGTCACTTTGGTTGTGGACCTGTGGTTGTACCATGCCAGGCTCTTCTTGAATAACTTGCTGCTGTCATTCATTTATCATGGAGATCCTTTCCTTTCACCGGAGTCCACCGGCGGTTTATTATTTAACGAGTACACATGAAGTGCATTTAAACGCTTCAGTCTGGGGCAACAGCCATGGTGCCTGGTTCGGTATAACGAACGAGAATAGGCATATGGATGGCGCTATCGGTGGAGGTGGTAGGAAGGATATGATAGTTAGTCATGTTACGGGATACACTGTTAGATGATTAGATATAGGAATGCCACCGGTAGCGCCAACACTAAAGAAATGTATGAACAGAGACATATTCACAGCCTATTCACTGTCCATTTCAGTACACGTAGCATAGCATTAGCCACAGATGGCGCCACCGACGGCCGCAGATGGCGCTGATCTCAACAACACATGAACAGCACTGGCGTCAAGGAACAAAGACTTAGTTTGGGAACTGGACAGCGGCGGAACGCACGGCCGCGGGCCTCGTCTTGAACATGATAGACGCCTATTTCAGTATCAGACTCTGTGGTTACAGAGACTCCTCATCTTCCAAGTCGGCCAGGCTGAGGCGCAGGCGCCAAGCAGCGCGGCAGCGACGCAGCGCACCGACGTCGGCGGCCCCGCCGGCCCAGCTTCCCGTCATCAAGTTGAGCTCCTTCTCCTACTCCTCCGACTCGAGTAGGCTGGATGCTGACGTTAAGCAGCGCGGTATAGGTGCAGCGGACTGACGTCGGCGGCTTCACTCGCCCAGCGTCCTGTCACCGTCAAGTTGAGCTCCTTCTCCTTCCGTATCTGTAGCTGGATGGCCTCCTTCTCCTTCTCCTCCGATTCTGTCAGGTTGGGTGCTGACGCCAAGCAGCGCGGTAATGATGCAGCGGGTAGACGTCGGCAGCTCCCCTGGCCCAGCTTCCCGTCATCGCCAAGTTGAGCTCCTTCTCCTTCAGTGTCTGCAGCTGGAGGGCCTCCTTCTCCTACTCCTTCGACTCGGCCGGGCTGGGGTGTTGACGCTAAGTAGCGCGGTAACGATGCAGCCGACAGACGTCGGCAGCTCCCCTGGCCCAGCTTCCCGTCATCACCAAGTTGAGCTCCTTCTCCTTCAGTGTCTGTAGCTGGAGGGCCTCCTTCTCCTACTCCTCCGACTCGGCTGGGCTGGTGTTGACGCTAAGTAGCGCGGTAACGATGCAGCCGACAGACGTCGGCAGCTCCCCTGGCCCAGCTTCCCGTCATCGCCAAGTTGAGCTCCTTCTCCTTCAGTGTCTGCAGCTGGAGGGCCTCCTTCTCCTACTCCTCCGACTCGGCCAGGCTGGGGTGTTGACGCTAAGCAGCGCGGTAACGATGCAGCCGACAGACGTCGGCGGCTTCGCTGGCCCAGCGTCCTGTCAACGTCACGTTGGACACCTTCTCTTTCCGTATCTGCAACTGGAGGGCCTCCTTCTCCTTCTCCTCCGACTCTGTCAGTCTCAGGTGCTGGCGCTGTGCAGCGCGGCAACGATGCGGCCAGAAGACGGTAGCGCCGTCGGTCTAGGGTCTCGCGATCATCACGTTGAGCTCCGTCCATCCAAATTCCAAATTCCAAATTCTTGTGGAAGGATTTTTTCTTCCTACTCGCGGTTTGATATACGAGAGCGAGTTGAGATGGGCCGTGTATTAAAATGAATACTATATGGGGTAGGGGTAGTGAGAAAAAAATTATTGCCCTCTGTGACATCACTGTAGCCCTCGGGCGAAGACCTCAACAAGCATTATTGCCCTCGGCTATGCCTCTGGTAAGTGGTAATAAAGCATGTTTCGGTTTTACTCTCGGGCTACAGTGACGTCTCATCGGGCAATCATTTTTACTACCCCATACAGTATTCATATAATATTTTAAGCTCGGTATTTCTCCACAGTTTTGGTTTGGTATCGGTTTTCAAATTGTCTGCACTTGCCATGACTGCTGACAGGTGTGCTGGCTGCTGACTGCTGACCATTGTGTTGACTGCTGGTTGCTGACTGCTGACTACCTGCCGGCTGCTGACTGCTGACTGCTGACAAGTGTGCCGACTGCCGACTGCGCACTGCTGGCTGCGCGGCGGTAGCGCAACGTGAGACATGCCGGTCGTTTCAGACATCGACGAGTGTCTGGAGGGCACGTCCAGCTGCCAGCCGGAGCGCGAGTTCTGTCTGAACACGCAGGGCGGCTTCACGTGCCAGGCGCGCCGCGGGCCCCGCGACTGTCCGGCCGGCTTCAAGTACGACACGTCCGCCGCCAGCTGCCTAGGTGAGCTCTGCACGGCGGAGGCACTGGCGAGTATTAGCATCCCTCCCACGAGTGAGCCGTGAAGAATCCTGTATCTTTTTATGTCGAGGTTTATTCTTAGTTAATTAAATATTGTCAGGGGTGTCGTGTTATGAAAATGATTGGTAGGGCTCAAAAACGGTGGACGGCCATTTATGACGTGCTTACAAAGGCAGGGTACCCCCAAATTTGCCTTTCTCATCGGATTTCGGCCACTTATATTTCCGCTTTGAATTTGAAATTTGAAAACTGAATTTGACAATCAAAACTAAAACACAAAACATCTTGGAAATCTTGGTACTACCGAACCAATGCACAAAACATGCATTTATAGAGGCATTTGTGTCAGAGGACAAGCTCGTTTTTTTCCGCGAAGCTCTACCTCGATCAGGGACCGAACGGTTCATAACTGCCCTTTTCATCAAGTGATATCTGACAAAAGATTGGTAGGGCTCACGGAACATTGATAGGGCCCATATAAACATTGGTAGGGCTCGGGCCCTACCAGGCCTATACAAAACGACGCCCCTGAATATTGTATTTAAATGTATTCATCTACAGGGTGTCCGGAAATTATTTGCCCCTTGTTCATTCAGCTATAATCCCACCGTGCGCTTAAGAACTGGGGCATTCCACGATAGATCGACCAAAATAAAATAAAATTTACACCCTCATATTTTATTTTTTGCTTAAAATTGGTCTAATGGGTTGTGATGGGCGGGGAACCCAGCTGTGGCAAGGATTTTTTTCTTCGAACAACGGTTTCCGAGATATAGCCTCGGGCAGTTCCTGGAGGTCACGCTGCAACCCTATGTTTGGCGGCTTATAACTCTATTAAAACTATTGCTTTTCTATGGTAAAAACTTTATATGGTTCAACTCGCAATCAACCAACAAACGTTTTGGCTATCTCCTTGACTCTGTTCCATGTCAAGCTTGCGGCCGAAGTGCTCTGCTGAAAGAAGTGCATGATTTCTGTACAGTCAGTTTTAAAAGCACCACGCAACAGTGCGGGGGATCCATCAAGACCGACCGTGGAAGAACTGCTAAATTTGAGCCACCGAAGCAATTGAAATCCTCGTCCATTCCCCAGGTCAATTGGTTCGGTGACTAAAATTAGAGCAGGCCCTTCCTCGGTCAGGCTTGATGGATCCACCGGTACTTTGCGCGGTACTTTTAAGACTGACTGTACATACAGCTCTTACATTCAAAGACGCAAATTTTTGAACCGAGGAACTCCGACCGCAAGCTTGCTATGGAACAGACTATGTATAGTCACCTACTGTCGGCGGGCGAAGGACGCTTCCCGCTGCTCTCCCCCTGACCCGACCCCCACGGCGTCACAGACGTGGACGAGTGTGAGGAGAAGATAGACGGCTGCCAGCCGGAGACGGAGCGCTGCACAAACACGCTCGGTGGCTACGAGTGTGACGCACAGTGTCAGCCGGGCTTCGTGTTCAGCGCCACCAGCAGGGCGTGCACAGGTGAGCCGCGCCGCGCCGGGCCGGGCCGGGCCGCCACCCGACCAACAGCCCTGCCCAGCCACTCTCAGCGCGGGACATTAGACTGGTAACCCAGCCACTCAGCGCGGGACATTAGACTGGTAACCCAGCCACTCTCAGCGCGGGACATTAGACTGGTAACCCAGCCCTGACCCAAAAGATCTTTGACCTGTGACCTGATTCTCGAGGCCATGTTCGGCCGGAATCGCGATTAATTGGCGTATGTCAGCTCACATTATCCGCGCGTTTCCAGTCTTTTTGTGATTGTAGACGTCCAAGTCCAAACATGTGAAATGATGTTCGTCCCATGCATTACGGTGGGTGTGAAGGTCACCTGAAGGTCAGGTCAGATCATTGACCTTTGATGACCTCGGTTCACTTTTTCGAGTTTTACATGTTTCTAGCGTAGTTTTCGGGCTGATTTCGAATTTAGCATCCATTTGAACATTTACGAAGTAGTTTTATAAAGTCATAGGCGGCGGAACGGGGAGGGCACCGGGGCACCGTGCCCCCCTTTGATTTTGGTATTTCAACATTGGCCCTATGGGCGTTGCATGGAAAGAATGGAGCCAAAAGTTGGCAGTGCCCCCCCCCTTAACCCGGCAGGTGGTGGGCCTACCAGCCACCTTCCGCGCGGTGGGGGGGGGCATGTTTTGCCCCCCCCGTATCTCCGAAACTACTAGACGGATCCGGAAAATTCAAACGGCGTTCGATAGCCCTGCCAAATTAGTCGAGGGAAACCAAATTTGATTGACCTCGGGGTCACCGATGACGTCACAGGTCAGGTCAAAGATAAAATGTTTCACCGTTCACGGGGCTTCTAGGGAAAGCGCTATAACACCGAGTAAAACGCATTTTGTCGGAAATCAGCGATAAGGCGTCAGTTGTCTAGTACATATATTGCTATTAGAGGTCACTGGTCATACCAGGTCAGGTCACAGGTCAGGTCACCAAAGGTCACCAAGGGTCACCACATGAGCCCAACTTTACTAAGGTTATTATGCGATGCATGTTTTATGGCCAGTTTTTCATTTCCAACTCAATGGTGTTGGTTATAAGACCATCAGGTACAGTTTAGGTCACTTTCTGGTGGAGGTCAGGTCAAGGTCAGGTCAAAAAAGGTCAAATTTCAAAGTTGATATTTTTGCATAAAATAGGTATCGATTCGATGCAGCTCGTCACGGGGAGTCTAAAGGTGGTCTTTGTTTGGCGCTACGAGGTCTAGAATTGCTAAAAATTGAGTTTGAAAATTTGACGTCATCAATTTTGAACAGTTTTTTCGCTATAACTTGGCCAAAAAAGAGATATCGATCTCAAATTTGGTATGTAGATAGAATGCGGTAGGGACTATCACATATATTCCGTTTTTTTTCGAAATTCAAAAAACTTTTTGGATTTTTTTGGCTTTTATATTCAAAAAATCTATTTTTTTCATTTTTGGGGGTCAAAATCAAAAAAAAATTCGAAAAACCGAAATAGCAGCTTTGTAGCCCTTCTGATTTCACACCTTTTATGTCTGAAACATTTTTCTGTATCTCTAAAGCTGTAGGCCTGACAGCTCTTCCCGCGAAACCTTTTTTTGGGGTCGAAAATGGCAAAAATGACGTCACTCTGACGTCATTAGCGGCCAACCTATCATAGCCTTTGGAAAAAAAATTTGGTCACCATGTGCGCTAGCTGCTCTCGGGAGGGTACTGAAAGTTTGGTGACGATCGGCGCAGCGGTTCTCGAGATATATTGAAAAAACTAAGGGGGGGGGGGGGCAAAAAAATGCCCCCCCCCCACCGCCTGGAAGGTTAATTGAAGGTGCTCCACCGCTACTGTATACTTCGTAACATGCTACGACGCCGTCAGTGGTAGTTGACACCTACTATGGATAGCCGGTAGGACGCCTAATGGTTGACCTGACCTGACCTGACCCGACCTGGCATGTAGACATCATCTGTGATCAAAACTAACATGATATTCGTGATCAACACCCCGAGGCCGAAAAACCCGATAACAGCTTCATTTTACGAAGTTCTAGTAGGTCCCGATTTTCCCGACATTTGGAACATTGACCTGACCTGGAAGGTCACCTAATGACCCAGGACCTTAAAATTGGTATCATCGGCTTCCTCTCGTCACGGGCAACACCCTCGTTTTTTCCGCGAAGCTCTAGCTCGATCAGGGGCTGAACGGCACGGGGGTCCAAGCGACCCCCCTCCCCTACACATTAGAAGCTGGAAAACGCCGCACACATGCGAGGGTTATAATATTGTCAATATTGGCTACCGCAAAAAGTAAAAGCGGCCAACTTAGCCATTTTCGAAGATATCGGGCTAAAAATTTTGACAGTTTGTCATCGGTATGTGTTCAATCACATGCTCGGTGATGCTCCATTTCCTTTTTCAGCACAAATGTAAGTTTTGAAGACCATCAAAGTAGCACATGCTTCGAAAGATGGATAGTGGGCAGCATATCCTAAAGTTGCCGTGCTGCATGGGAAGTAGTGTTGATGAGAAAAGGGGTTTTTGGTTCAGATTATTGTGGGTGCAGAATAACTACATTGTCTGCACCCACTGGAGAATTATTGTGGGTGCAGCTGCACCCACTGCACCCATGGTTCCTACGCTTATGAGCTAGCGAGTCGGTTGAGCCATCACTTGACTTAGAAAGAACTGCCACATCGAATGATATGCAGCATGACATCCCCCATGCAGCTTTGTGACCCGAGTGACTTTGGCCTGACCTTGACCTAGGTCAGCATCCTAAAAAGACCTAATCCAAACAAAAAGTATATCATTCGACGCGCCTGGCCACGACGAGCACGATGGTGCCACAATCGCGGCTCTACCCACATTTGTGGCGAAGTTATTTACCAAAAACCAAACCCCTACTTTATGACACTTGATCTGACCTCAGGGGTCACCGGTTGGTGCAAGACCTTGAAATCGGATACCAATCGCTTTGGTTCGTAAAAACGCAAACGCTGGCTTTTTCCGCAAGGTTCTATCTCAATTAGGAGCGAAATGGCTAAGGAGGGGGTCTTGCATCTACCCCCTCTTTACCGTGTTCGCGAACAGTTCATGAACGTTCGCGAACTGTTCGTCGTTTGTTTACCAAAATTTGACCGATGACGTCACTTGTTGGCGAACACATTTGTTCGTGAACAGTTTGTTTATGTTTGTTTATTTGAAAAATTAAACAAACACCAAACCCTGAAAAGATGTCTATCGGATTCAATAGAAGCTCTGGAACACAATGATGCCTTTTGTTTTTGTGTGCGATGTCTGATAAGTACCAAAAATTGCGTTTAACCCACGAGCCGCTGAGGGGAAGGGGCATTGATTTGCCCCCCCCCCCCCTTTACGTTTTGTGTGGTATCTCCGAAACCTGATAAGTGAACATAAAACTTGGTATACTCGTAGTTTCAAATGAATACCTTTGCAATATTTAATTAAGAAAAGTTCTGATGTCACTGAGCATGAAACGTAGCGGCGTATAAGGCCAAACGTAACGGCCCGAACGTATAAGGGGGTGGGCGGTCCGTTGGACCCCTTGCCGTTTCACCCCTGATCGAGCTAGAGCTCCGCGAAAAAAAAAACTAGCGTGTTGCCCGTGACGAGAGGAAGCCGATGATTATCAGTTTTAACCCGGCAGGCGGTGGGCCTCCCGGCCACCTTCCGCGCGGTGGGGGGGGGGGGCACTTTTTTGCCCTCCCCCGTATCTCCAAAACTACTGGACGGATCCGGAAAATTCAAACGGCATTCGATAGCCCTGTCAACTTTGTTGAGGGATACCAAATTTCATTGACCTCGGGGTCACCGATGACGTCACAGGTCAGGTCAAATATAATATGTTTCACCGTTCACGGGGCTTTTAGGGAAAGCGCTATAACACCGTGTAAAGCGCATTTTGTCGAAAATCAGCGATAGGGCGTCAGTTGTCTAGTACATATGTTGCTATTAGAGGTCACTGGTCACACCAGGTCAGATCACAGGTCAGGTCACCAAAGGTCACCAAGGGTCACCACATGAACCCAACTTTACTAAGGTTGTGCGATGTATGTTTTATGGCCAGTTCTTCATTTCAAGCTCAATGGTGTTGGTTATAAGACCATCAGGTACGGTTTAGGTCACTTTCTGGTGGAGGTCAGGTCAAGGTCAGGTAAAAAAGGTCAAATTTCAAAGTTGATATTTTACATAAAATGGGTGTTGATTCGATGCAGCTCGTCACGGGGAGTCTAATGGTGGTCTTTGTTTTGCACTACGAGGTCTAGAATTGCTAAAAATTGAGCTTGAAAATTTGACGTCATCAATTTTGAACCGTTTTTTTCGCTATAACTTGGCCAAAAAAGTTGGCCCTTTAGCCTAACTTGGCCCTTTAGTTTTTTTCGATATATCTCGAGAACCACTGCGCCGATCGTCACCAAGCTTTCAGTACCCTCCCGTGAATAGCTATTGCACATTGTGACCAAAAGTTTTTTATCACGCCTACATTCTGCATCTGCCTACATTCTGAGCATTTTTTTTTTGCAATAGCTTATTGTGCCGATCCCTCCTTCATCATCGTTCCTCTCAACTGGCTTTGTCCAAGCCGTTTGCCGATGTCTCACGATGTTTTCCCATCTTGCCCCGTATACCAGATCTAGGGAAGTGTTCAACTTTTTTAGAAAAGTCTCTAGATCAACGATCTCCTCCGTTTGCTCCCGTTCTTGCAATTTACGATGTTGAACGGTCGTAGTGGGATACCGGCCTAAGGCTTAAACTATTTGTAGTAGTTCATCTGACTGAGCTTGTCATAGATATTGATTTATATTTTATCTGTATATTTCTTGAAGAACAAATATTCATAGGTCTGCATTGTTCGAGATATGCTTTTTCGGATTTTAGTGGGATAATTTTCAAAACTTGAATACTCCTGAAAATCCGAGCTAGTAGTTTGGTGCCTATATGTATGTTGTGTCATCTCAGGCCAGTTTTATTAACAGAAAAATAGCC